TTACCTGTACCCTTCATGCCAGTTTTGTCCAAAACCTTATCAACCAAATGACCATCCCCCTTATCATCCTTAATTCCAAATATATCTGCAGTGATTTCAATCAAGAAGCTCAGAAGCTCCCCCTTGTTCCATTCTGAGAAAACACATTGCAGTTCTTCATTGGACAACTTTCCAACAGATTTCAGGACATCATATGCCTCCGCAATCAACTGCATATCACCATATTCAATTCCATTATGGATCATCTTCACAAAGTTACCAGATCCACCTTTGCCAATATAGGTCACACAGGGACCGCTATCTTCAACTTGAGCAGCAACCTTAAGAAGAATGTCTTCAATATACTTGTAAGCCTCAAAGGAGCCTCCAGGCATCAATGAGGGTCCATGTCGTGCTCCTTCTTCACCACCTGAAACTCCCATTCCGAGGTAGAGCAAACCCAATTCAGTCATCGCCTTTTCTCGCCTCTCAGTGTTCTCATACCACTCATTGCCACCATCAATAATACAATCACCTTTCTCCATGAAAGCAGAGAGGGTCTTAATAGTTTGGTCGACGGGTGCCCCTGCCTTTACAAGCATGATTATAACTCTAGGTTTCTGGATAGATTGAACAAATGCTTCAGGATCATGGAAGCCATACACAGGCAGATCACCTTCTAGTTTAGCACGTTCAACAGTCTCATCAACTTTGGAGGTAGTTCGGTTATAAACAGAGATGGGGAAGCCTTTCTCAGCAATATTTAGTGCCAGATTTTGGCCCATAACAGCCAGACCAGCTAGTCCTATTCTTGTAAGGCCACTAGGTGGAGCCATATTTCTGCCTGCTCAATGTTTAACATTGCTAGTGAGATTAAAAAATTTTAAGCATCAAACTGTCAATTCTCATGCCAACTAATCTCATTCTCATAACAAATTCAATAAGAAAAGAAGAATTAGCTTCTTCCTAGAATGAATAAACTCAATTAAAGAATTACTGCATGTTAGAAGGAAATGGAAAACATTTAGGACCATTCAGTTAGCTAAATCGAAAAGCAGTCAGATCAGAGAAATGAGACAAAACAACGAACTCAGTTATCCTAAATCAGATCCCGAATCATCAAAACACATCAGCCATATATCCACTGAGAACCCACTTGCAGATCTTAGAGAAATATTCACAAATGCCAATAAGTGGATCAACAATACAACAGAAAGTGAACCCAGATCAGAAAATTTCAAGTCAAACCCAGAAGCAAAACTACTTACTTCTTAACTAAAGCAACAAAAAGGGGGGAAAAAAAACACAGTTAAGACGGATTTCAATTCAGCAACAGAGCACAGCATAAGAATACACCCAGAATAAAGCAAAATCCAACAAAAATAGAAACCCAAACCTCAATTGCCCTGATCGAAACTAGAACCAAATCCTCTGAGAAAAAGCACCAATACCCAGAAAATGATATCAAAGATCCAGACTTTGAAGAGAGCAGACAAATGGGTGGTGGCTAATTAGCTAATATATTTGTAAGAAACAATTGTTTAATGGGAAACGAAGGAAGATGCCGAAATAATTAGCTTACCTTACCGAATACTAACTTTTTAGGACAGGGATCTGCCTTTCTTTGAAATAGCCAGGTCAAAGCTGGCTGTTGGCTGTTGCGGTCGGTGGGAGGTCAGATTGGTTAACTTCATTTCACTGACTCTGAGTCCTTGGTCATTTTACGGTATCTCAATTTAGTCCATAGTGTTTCATTTGTCAAGTGTTAATCCCTAACTTGAGTAGCTTTAGTAGAATGTTCAGAGGAAGTTCCCTCTTTCAAATCATTCAAATCTCACTGTTTCCACTTGACAAACGTATCCCATTGAACTCTTATGCTTCACCACAGTTACTCTAGCTCTTTATTGATAAAATATCAAGTTATTTCATACGACAAAAATAAAATTTCAAAATCTATTTTACCTTTTTGAAATATGTTTTGATGGAAGATGGGATGGGAGGGACTTTTTCTCTCACTTACAAGGCCATCCTCGCGTTTAGGTGGCTTGCAATCAAATTATAGAACTTGGTGTAGGAGCTTTCCATTGAAATGAGTAAGAAGTTGTATGTGGACTAAAAATGTGACAAATGAAACAATATGGGCAGGATCAAAACATCAAGAAGAATGTTTGGTTTGAACTTTGAAATTTATTTGTTTTTCAATTAATTCCCCAACCTTAAGGTATACTGTGCCAACAAACAAAACCGATTGCTTTCAGTGTCACCAAACATTTTCTGTTGTAATTTGAACATTACATTTCATCAAAAAGTACTGTTAGGTAGTTTATCAAGGGATTGATATTTCTGGCTTCCCCTTGATTTGAATATTTTAGAATATACAAGTTGGAAGACTGAAACAAGATTTTTTGTATAATTTTTTCACAGCTTTTTTTATCTATTTCAAAATTTTTTCGGTTATTCATTTGCAATGCAAGTGCATTAATTTCAAATTTTGTTAACATAAGAAATGGTTGAGTTGTTACATTCAATAATTTTTTGGATAATCAAACAATGAAACAAATACATTGAATACTTTATATTTACAAATAACAATCTAATACATAAACGAACCGGACCTTTAGGTTCAATGGTTCGACTTTAAACCTTAAAGTATTTGGGTGAAGTGGTCGGGTTTCGACCTCCACCATCATCTTAAAAACTCTCTTTCCCCATCCCCCAAATTGTATACTGTTAAAAAAAAAAAATCTAATACATAAGCAAATTATTGAGGTATGTGCTTGGCTCAATGAATAAACCAAGATTCAACAATCTTTGTCAAAGAAAAATATAACTTTCACTGAGATTTCAGTCTATAAAATTGTCTACCAATGCGCTTTATGTAGATCAAAATCTTTAATGTAGAAGGAAGGGTGTGTGTATCATTGCTGCAGATTTGATTTTTTTTTATTTCACAAATTTGAAAATTGACTTTTAAAGTTATTTTTAAATAAATTTTGAGAAAATTACACAGCCAAGCAAAATTAGGTAGTGGCATGTTCATTTTATTGACCCAGCAAAAGCTTGCAGGCGGGGAACGGGTGTTTTTTTGCCCCCATTAGAAAGAGGATTTGAAGGGAGAGCAATAAACATAAATAAAAGCAAGGCAGAAAAGGGAATTGAAATGAGGGGAAAAGACAAAGGAGGCTAACATGCAAAATTTGTCAAAAACTGCATCGAAGATGTTAGCATTAGAGTTTGCAATCTAAAATAAATTTTAAAACCATAACCATTGAAAGCAGCTATCCTCAACTGAATGTCATTGATTCACTGTTATATATTATGATCCAGACTACACAATAATTTTCTGTTAACATCACTGCCTAACATTTATCATTCCATGAAACAAAAATGAAAAAAAGCTATATTCATGTGTTAACGGGCAAAAAACCTAATATGTGCATCACTTTATACATCTAACTTTGAAGTATGTTCATAGACTATCTGACCTTAATCATCATCTCCATCTTTAACCTTAACCATGGCAAAACATAGCTTTGATTTGGAGGCTATCCGGAATGACCAAATCTGCACCACTGCATTCCTTTTTATTGTGCTCTGATTTCCATCTACCACTGAATTCCACTGCTCATTAAACACAAACACTCTGGAATTTCTCATATTCCACTTGGTCAGGTGGATTTCCGATTTCTTCAGACACGGTTCTATCAGCCCAACATTCAGCCCTTTCTCATCCAATTCCCTTTCCTCCTCCTCCGTAAGAAAAGTTGCCATCACCTGATTCTCTGGAATTTGCAAGCGGTTATGGGACTTACTAAGGTCTGTTTTGAATATGATCTTCTGTATCAGCAACTTCTCTTCAGAACCACCCATCCCTTCAATCAAATTCTTGAATTCAGTTGGCATGTTTGGTGGTGGCACCAAACCCCATTCAGCAAGTTGTTTCATTACTTTGTTATTCTGTACCTTTCCATCCTGCCTCTTGGGTTTATTCAGCTTTTCCTCTTCACCTTTGTCACTCTCACGGCAACGTTTCTGAACCTTTCTCTTGTTTTCTACTTTCTCGGCGTCAGAGGATCCTGTTTCACAATCTCTCAGAACAGGGGTTCCAAATTTTCTGAAGAAATCAGTAGCATTAATTGCCAGGGTTTTCCCTCTGTCGGACCTATGTTTATTGGGCATCTTGTTAATAACTTTGAATTGCTTAGCATTAGAAAATCTTGTTTCCAAATCTCCCATAGCAGGGTTCTCAACTTTCTTCAAAAAACTTGTGCCGCTTGTACCCATCAAGGGTTTTCCTTTGCTACCTCTCTGTTTCTTGGGCACATCAAAATTCAGAACTGGTAATGGTGTGAGCGGCAAATCGGTAGATTTGAAGGATTCATCAGTGAATTTCTCAGAGTAATCGGTTAGGCTCAGGTTGCCATTAACAGCCGTCATATCAACATTCTCCAACTCAACAGATTTCTTGACCCCTGTAGATTCTTTTTGTTTTCTCCTTGTTTCCTCATTGACCTTCTTAACAAAATAAAGCACATTCTCCATGTCTTCGTCCGTTAAACCCAGACACTTGAATATGATTGATTTCATGTCCTCTGGGAATGCAGATGGTTGCCCTGTATTCATCGCTTCTTCTTTCTCCGAGTAATGAGGATGGTTCTCCATAGGTTCAACGGCTTTCTCGAACTCCAAGTAGGATGACACCCGTTTGGCGATTATGATTGTTTTCCCTATTTCAAGTTTCAATCTCTGCAAGTTCGTCGAAAAAGAACCCAAAAACTCCCAAGTAGTGGAAACGATCGCAAGTTCTAACTCGGATTATGTGTGTTTTGAAACAAAAGCAGGCGGTAGAAACAGCAAGTTGTGGCAGAGTAGAAGAAAAATAACACTGCTAAAGAGAAGAAGAAGAGGAGAATGTATGTTGGGGAAAGGGTGCAAAAGTGTAGGATTTGAGAGAGAAATAGGCCAAGGTGTGCACTGTGGTGTGGAATATATAGAAGGGGAGAGCCAAACCTGAATTCCCAATTTCATTGTGTTTAGGAGTTCTAACGTAATATGGAGTATCTTCTGTAGCCAGTAATATAACGGTAATATTTCAGGCTATAGGCGGGCAGGCAACAATTGTAATCTTATCACCGGGTTGTGCGGCAACCAGTCATTAATGTGAAGATTATATCTGACTTCCAAGTGAAAAAAGAGCTTTGAATCCAAGTTAAAGACTTATAATACGTTTCGTATAAGGAAACTGAGTGAAAAGAAAGGAAAGTAGTCTTATTTTAATTAATTAAATTAAATAATTTGATTGGTTATAATAATTTTTCCAACCTCAAACTAAATTTAAACTAGCTAAGTTGAACCTTGGGTACCCAAGCCGAGAAGTTATTGACTTCGTAAGAGCAAGGGATTTTCAACTTTAAGGATTGAATCTAGTGAACATGCCTCAAACCAACATTGAAGGAAATTTAATTGCTTTGAATGCATTAGGCCAATGTATGTAAAACATCCACATTGAAGAACAATTTCCATGGTGTGACACTATAATTAAAGCTTTTTTGCCTGTTACTTTTCGACCGCTAGAAAAAATACATATTGGAATCGTTCTTTACGGCCTATAAATATACAACACTCACGAAGTAATTCTCCAGCCTAGGTAAAACTCTAGAGAACAAGCTTGTGGATTCAGTACCCATATCGATCGTTCAGTGAAGTTCGCCCATCACCTGATTGTCCTGCATGAGTATGAAATTTCGTTACATATATCTCAAAGATGCTACAATACTAAAAGCATGGGGAAAATATATAATATAATTACACAAGCAAGATATCTAAGGAACATACCTTCAGGGGGAACCCATGTTTCATAATCTGAATTTCTATCAAGAAATGAAGGTTTCTCTGGACCAAGCACTCTTTTTGGCTTTTTTACGTCCTTGCTAGATTGATTTCTGGCTGGCATTTCATGGGTTTCAGATGACTCCTCATCCTCCCCCTGAAACCCCCTTGCATGTTTCAGTAACAGTGCAACAGCATCCTGTGCCATGAGATCAGCTCCCTCGGAGGAAGATGTTGATTGATCATAAGCTTTGCTCTCACTACCTTCAGGTTTCTCGACTTGCCTTGGCTTCCTTATGATCAAACCAGGGCCCGCAGTTTCAATATCTGAGTGATCCTTAAACTGTGGATCATCAACATTTTCGAGCATTCTTTTCCTGTCTTTATAATCCACAAATTGGTCGGCCTCCTGTGTGCTCGGGAGTTCTACTTGTTGGGATTCTTTTATTTCTTTGGTCTCTACAGCCCCAAGCCACTGGGGCTTTACAGCAGTATAGACAACCTTTTCTGCCTCAGCTTTATCGCCAGCAACCTTCTCAACCTCTGGCTTCTTGGTTGGTTCTGCAAAGGAATCAACAGTTCCTTCTGTGTGCTTGGATAAATTTCCTGGTTCTCTAGATGCATCATTTCTTTTGGACTCCACAAGAGGCTGCTTCTTGACAACAGCAGGAGTTTCAGATTTGTTTGCTTTTGGTGTTTGAACATTTAAATCTCTTTTCTTAGCAGCTTCCCCAGCAGGGTCAGCAATTTTCAATAGGTAGAAGATCCTGTCTAACTCAGATTGAAGAGCAGATAATTCCTTCTCAAGTTGCATTGTTTGATCAAGCACTGACAAAGAAAGAAGGGAAGTCAGGTGGACAGCAGAAGAATGTTCATCAACCGTTCACTTAAAAAGAATTGCACACGAAAACAAAAGGGAAATACAAAAAGCAAGAGAAAACCAACAAGAAAGAAAGAAATAACAGAATACCAATATTATTCATGTTAAATATAAGTAGACTATGATTTATAAATTAAAAATTGATGAACTCTAGCATATTCAAGAAATGGCATGTGCAGCTCCTATTCAGTGTAAAACCTTATTCTTCCAGTGGCAGAATTCACTCCCTAAAACAAAAACAGGTTGCACAAGCCTTAAAATGGACAGTCTTTTATGGGTACAAGTACAAAAAGAAGGACCCATTACTGCTTTCTTCCCTTCCCTTGTCATGTGGAATCCCAGGAGAAAATAAACATGAACAAAGAGAAACATGCATCAAATCCTGTACAGCTATGTGCCCATACCCCATGAATGATGTTAAACCATGCACTGCAAAATTATCATCAATATACTCAAAGATCAAGAATGATATATCTAGATAGTTTTTCAATGGAGAATTCCTCACCTAGCTGGGAAGAAAGCCCAGACATGAAAGTGTCAAGTGCATCTCCAGAATCAGTCTCTACTGCATTTTCCGAAGCTATTCTGTTCTTCTCAGTTGAAAGCAACTGTTTCTTCTCTTCAATTTCTTTCATGACAGCATCTCTCTTATCAAGAAGAGTATCAGCAGTTTCAACTGACTGGCTTTCACCACCTTTCTGAATGAAAGGTTTCTTCTTTGTGCGATCATAAAATTCATCATCATCACTGGATGATAACAAATCATAATAAGCATAAATTAGTTTTACAATAAAGAAAGGCCAGAAACAAACTTTTATGAGGTTGCTTAAGAAGGGAGAAAAGGTAAGTACACCAGAAACATAAAAATACACAATCATGCAAAACATTTTTTTTTTAATATGAAAACATAAATCCAATAAATAACTGCATGGAAGATTAAGTCAAATATTTTGGCAACTAGATGCAACTGCAGCAACACATATGAATTAGTTTTTGGCATATCACCAAATATCTATTCCAGTTTCACAATTAATTACTTTAATATTATAGATTACCTTAGAAAGTCTTCATCATCTTCTGGTGCCCCTTTCCTCTTACCACCAGTTATCTTCCCAGCACGAGCACCCATACTTTCCCGGATACTGTCATTCAATGTCTCTTCCAAGTTTTCAAGCTCTTCCATGATCTACAAAGTTGTATAAAACAATGCGTCATTTTTTTTCCCCTTATATTTCTTTCTCCATATAAAAGGACTACAAACAAAATTAGCTTCTACTCCCAAAGATCACACTGAATACCAAACAAATCAGACTCCTATCCACCTAATAACATACCTGTGTGATTCTCTGTTCGTTTCGAGCAATTTGAGTTTGTTGGCCCTGTGTCAACCCACCCTGAGGAATGTCTTTGGCACGTATTACTTCTATCTCTTTCTTCATATGAGCTATCTACATCCAGAAGAGTGACATTTAAGTGAAAAATCATGAGCACTAAGGCTAACAAGAAATGAATGAGAAGATTAAAACTTAAAAGGTTCTGTCTCAATATTAGACAAATATGATAAAGCACCAGACTAAACAAGAAAGGGAAATGTACTATGGCATTAGACCATGAAGATAAAAAGACTTGCCTTTTCCATCCTTTTTACTATTTTATCGCGGGTTTTTTCTTGTTTCTCAGTCAGCTTTCCTTTGTACGTTTGCCAAGTCACTTCATCAACATCATCCTAGATATTCAACCAACTTCAATAAGTAGTAAAGATAAATAGAGCAAGACTAGCGATAAGTCTCACATCAGAAGAATGTAGATTTGGGAATTGGAGGGAAAATGTAACACAAAAGAAGCAAAAAATATTCTGACATTTGCGGTAAGAAGTTAGACCAACCTCTTCTTCTTCAATAGCATCCTCTGCCATGCCCCACGAGATACCATCAGCAAGAGATGCTTCCTGTCTTGCTCTTCTAAGTGAAGCTTCTCGATCTAACATCTCTTCTTGTATCTTAGTTTCTCTGATGATTTTCAAATCAGTTTCCTACACATGTTACATAAGTTAAGCAACCAAACCATATGCTAAAGATCATTGCATCAAAATGCCAAATTTAAAAAAAATAAATAAATAAAATAAAATAAAATAAAATAAAATAAAATTGTAGCATCCAATGTACCAACAGATTGTCAAATAAAACTTCACAACACATGTAAGAACCTCAGACTCTATAACCCAATGAACTCATGACATAGCTGTCTTTAAGAAATTATAAAATCAAGAAAAATGACCATGTGCTTGTTTCCCCCTCCCCCTCAGAAATGCAATACAAGATAAAATAATGGCACTGAGGAGTATTGCTTGTCATGTACCAACATGAAAACCCAACATTTGTCCTTGACTCCTTGTCATGCGCAGTTACATGTATTTTTAATTTTCTTAACATGTGTCCTGATACACAATTGAATATAACTATGGAAAAAGTGAAGTTTCACAAACCCTTATGATAAAGGAAAAAGAAGGAAAAAAAGTACAATTTTAGAAGGAAAATGCAAGTTGGGCACCATGAAACCAATCTAACTATAGGCAATTATACCTCAAGAATTAACTGCCAAAAGTCCAAAAATGTGCAGATTGCACAGGAAAATTTACAAGAAAAAAGAATACAAAACAAAATAAATCTTACAGCTGGCATCAACTCAGTAGGCCCTTGGAAAATATACAATCGAGATGACCTGAACCAGGGAAAGAAACAAAATTTAAATAACTAAAAGCAGATCTAACATCCTCTTTCTTCTTTTAAAAGTAAACTAAAGAACAAAGAGAAATGTAAAACCAGGCAAGTATATGAAGAGCAAGCATTAGAAGCAGTGACAAGAGAAAGGAAACAATAAGTAAAACAATATAACCCTCAAGATTTTACATTTCAAACTTCATAGAAACTGTAAAAGAAATGAATAATTTTCTTTTTTTTAAAAGAAGAATGCAAGAGTACATGCCTACAGTGATTATTTTTCTTTTCTCTTGAATTTCACAGCCCACATTCAGCATACTTTGACCTCAAAAATATAAAGAACTAATTACAATAAAATCTTCACTTGTGTTTATTAGTACCCCACCCACTCAAAAAAGAAATTCTGTGGTTGCATTGACTTAGGAGCACTCATGAATTCACCAAGCCATAATCCTAATTACATTGATGTAATCCCTCCGTCACCAATTGCTCATACGATAAAGAGCATCATCCAGTGTGACAAAGCTTAACATGACGATTTTACCATTAATCATATATTCCCAAATTTGAACCACAGGTTCTCTGAGTACATGTCAGCAACACAACCATATGTCAATCTTTCTTGATATAGGATCTAAACCAGACCACAGATGCCACTAGTACTAAGGTGACATGACATGTTAGTGCTGAATGCAATACTGATCCAAATTCAGCTCCAAGGCTTAGATGCCTATGTTTAGCATCAGCCCACTGAGTAAAAAATGATAAAGAGGAACATCAAAGGGAACTGGAAAGACAAGGAAATATGGGATGAAAACAGAAGATTTATGGAGAAATTATAACAGTGTCAAAACAATTAAGCAATAGTTTACTTACTGGCCAAATCGAATGACATCACCTACATGCAGGTCCACATAAACCCTTTTCTCAACCTGATCAAATTAAAAAAAGGAAAAAGAAAAAAGAAAAAAAAAAAGAAAAGAAGAAAGAAACAATTAGGAATGGAAGGAAGGGGGGGTGACAACATATAACAATAAAATAAATGGACAGCTGGGATACCTGATTCTTGTTGACAAAAGTGCCATGGGTGCTACCACAATCATAAAGATAGGCTTCTCCACTTCTTTTAAACTGAATCACTAATAACCAAAAAAAAAAAGGGGGCAATTAAATAGGATTGGAGAAGTCTATCAGGCTCATCCCCACTGATAAATATTCTACTTTTCCTTTGTCTGTCAATTGAGAACTGTTGTATTTAATCCAATACATTCTCAAGATTAAATTTTCAAATAAAACACAAACTTTTAAGATTAATGAACAAAGAAACACTTACCAGCATGATACCGAGAGATGGTTGGATGCTCAAGCATGAAATCACATAGTTTCTCCCTCCCAAACATGTAAGCCCCCTTCTTGTAGCTGAATGATTATCACCGCCAACATGTCAGTATATTCCAGTATCAATAATTGAAAGACAAAGCACAACATGCAAAAATCTTGAGTATGTCTCACTATTACAATAATGTACTGCCTTCATACTCATCTCTAACAGCAGTCACACACACTTGCAGATCAAAAACAAATTGAGGACTGGAAAAGGAAAAAGAACTTACACATCCAATTGGTCAATGATGGAGCCATCTTTGAGGACCTCGAGGTAGAAATTGTGAGAGGGCGGCCCATTCCAAGGAGGAATGGTGTAAGGCACTGAACTGTGCCTTGCACTGTTTTCTGGTGCTGGTTTTTCAATTACATCAGGTGAATTTGAATTTGGTTCTGATTCTTCAGCTCGCTGTTGATGTTGTTCGCCGTTCTCAGAATTAGGGTTTCTCGGAGGAGGAGGGCCCATGGAGGCTTTGGCCGGTGGTGCAGGTGCTGGGGCGGGTTCGTCTTGTGGGGTTTCGGGTTCCGTGGAGGGATTAGGGTTAGGTTCAGGGTTTCTTGGAGGCGGAGGACCCATGGCTGAGCTCATTGTTGCAGAGAGGCAGAGACACAGATGCAGGATCTCCAAAGGAAGGTCGAGGACGGATCGTTAAACGGATCCGCAATTGGAAAAGAGGCGGCAAATTGCTCGGGTCGGTCTTAGTGTTGGTCGGGTCTTGATTGCTTGGTACGTAGAAGGAGTTAACGACCTTGTTTGATGTCCTTACATTAGAATAGATGATACAATTAAGGACCTATAATTTATTTTGTTTTATTTTTATTTTTATCAAATTTATCTCTCTCTCTTTTTTTTTCCTTTTTTTTGGGGTTCATAAGAAGCTAAATAAAGCTAAGTCCCAAGGAACAACATTCCTATACTATCTTCTTGGAGAATGCATCCAATGGTTGCAAGTGGGGTTGGGAAGAAAGTAGTGCCTTAGGTAAGAGTTTGGCGGATGTTGGCCATAGGATCGACTGCAAAGTTGCCTTCTCTAAGTGTGTGTTGTATTCTACATTTTATGAATGTGTTTAGTAAATGAAAGATGTTTGAGAATAGAACTGAAGCAATGCCCTCCCTTGCTTTCCTCTCATTGATCATTTGCATGGCCGAAAGAGAGTCCATTTCAAGGCTTAAGTGGGTGGTGGTACCAAGCTCTGATGCTAGCCATAGGCCTGCACAGAAACCCCAAAGCTTCACCATGTAGCTAGACTGTGGCCCTATGTTAACAACAAATCCATGTATCCATCATCCCTTGTGGTCACAGTCACAGATGAGACCACCAACAGTAGCTCTCCCAGTAGAATGGTTCATCACTCTATCTGTGTTCAACTTGAAGAAGGGGAAATCAGGTGAGAACCATCTCACCCATCTCGGTACACGAGTCTGGGCTAGGGTATTTGATGTCAACGCCATCCTTGTGTCTATCGCTAAAGAGCAAGCTTGCTGATACATAATGTGAGGTGAGGTTCATTTACCTTCAAAAATCAAAGTTATCTCTCTTTTATATTGTCTGATCTGATGCACAAAATGGTTCGCACTAGGTTGCCAACAAATTGGGAAGCCCAAATTGATCCAATTGATCCCTAATCAATTTAGTTGGTTCATGATATGCTGCTTTGAGTTTTTTTCATATGTTCGATCCTGCTAGGTTGAGTGAATTATGCAATGAAGAGTTGCGAACCCCAGCTAGACATGTTTTCACGGATTGTATTACTGTCCATGTAGGCACGTTGTTGTATCATTGATCTAGGCTGTGATTCAAGTAGGCCAACCTGGTGAACATGGCTCTCAAACCTGAGTAGACTTAACAGAGATGCAGGGTATGTATGAGATGTCAATGAAGAAATTAAACGTACAGAAACACACTCACTGAACTTTGGCAATAATAAGAAAAAGGTTGTTCAAACACCAAAAACTCTAATCTACCATTATATTATAGGAATTCAGAAAGATATATACAGCCAAGATCATTCACAACACTAGATGCCATAGAAACCAATCAGACAAATATTCTGACAACTGGCACAAGATCAACCAACGAGAAAACAAATCAATAAACTGGCTTTGATCATCAATGAGGAGCTGATACCATTTCACATGGAAAACCAAAGCACCATTCACGAAGGTGGATTTTGATAAGCTGATTGCACTTTTGACTCCAACAAAGAGACATATCTATCAAGCACAGAAACTACAGCTTCAAACTCAGTTACTCGCTGCTCTATGGCATCAATCTGCTGAACATACTCATCAAAATTACTGCCTTTGCTCTTCAGCTGCTCCACAAACACCCTTAACCCAGATGCCACATCGCCAAAGCCTTTGTATTCTTCAGCAACCCTGAGGTTCATCTTCTCCAAAAGCTCCAGCAGATTATTCGTCCCCTGAAAAGTCAAAAACAACTCTAACTTCCCATCTCTACGCAAAGCACCAGCACCACAAGGTTAAGTAATACTACCCTATGGCAAATTCTGCCATAATCTAAATGTTTGTTCATACTGGAAATGCTAAGAACAAGGCCATTTCTTTCTCAGGTGTTTCTTCCAGTGTTGCAAACAAAAGATTGGGGGGAAAATGAGTAAAACCCAGAATTCAAATGCACAAAATATGCTGAGAATCGACACTAATTCTCTCAAAAGAACTGAACTTTGAACAAAGCTTGGCAGCAGGAGGGATTTGAATGCATAATACATCATTTGACAGTGAAATTGTTACTAATTTGTTGCAATTAAAGTTAGAGGGCCTTCATTGACATTCAACCTAAACCCTAGAACCAGCGAGGGAGGTAAAATTCGATAAAATAAAAAAAAAAAGGGGGGGAGGGGGGAGATTCAGTAGATCAACAGGATGAGGAAAACCTGGAGTTCAGATTTAACCATTGATGAGACGCTGGAGAAGAGATCGTCGAGTGACTCTGCCAACTCGTCTTCCTGTAATTCCGGCTCCTTCCCCGCCGTCGCCATCGTTGTCTCCTCCAACACCCTTTTAGTCCTTTGAAATAGGACCCAGTTTGATTAAATAAATATTTAAAATTATCAATAATAAATAACCAAATAAAAAAACTATATATTTAGAAATTATATAATTTAAAAAATCATGCCTATGAAAATGAAATAACGAATTTCCTACACATTACCGACAGTCGGATCTTCTGTAGTCGCTGCATTCCCACGGACAAAGCAATGATTTTGTGCTTCATAGAATCCTATTTTTGGTTCTTCTTTCATCCTCTTCAATTTACAGTCCGGAATTCGTGTCTCATTCTCCAATTTCACCCTTTTTTCTATAGTTTGTAGGTAGAGATGGAAGCAAAGATGAAGGCGGGTAGTGCTGCCAGGTTGATCGTGGATGCATTGCTGCAGAGGTTTCTTCCTCTCGCCAGACGCCGAATCGAAACTGCTCAAGCTCAGGTTGTGTATTTTTCTCTGCGTTTCAACATTTTGATGTTAATTGCTAGAGTCTTTCAGGTTTGGGTAGAGCTTGGTATGTTTATGTGAAGCCGTCAGGGAAGAAAGTAGTCTTTTTTGTGTTTGGAAATTTAAGACACTATAATGATCAAGTTCTCATTTTTTCTTCTTTTTTTAATTATTACTGCTGAATCTTTCCCCACCCATCTCTTGTTACGTGTTGCATTTACAGGACGGACAGCACCTTCGACCTTCTGACCCTGCCTATGAGCAAGTACTGGATTCCTTAGCTATGATTGCACGGCATACTCCAGTTCCTCTTCTGGAAGCTCTCCTTCGATGGCGAGAGAGGTGGATCTCATTTCTTCATTTGGTTTTCCTTCCTAGTAATTGGTACTCTTAAACGTTTTGTAATTTTAAATACCATTTTGTGTGGAAAATCAAATGCCCTCTTCGATGGTGAGATAGGGTGGATCATTCTCTATCCCTTGGCTATGCTTCCCCAATCACCTGGGGTTAGGGAACAATAGATGTAGAGTTGTGGCCAATATGAAGAGATTGCAATTCTTTCATAGAATTAAGTCATTTGAGACTTCAAAGGTGGTATTTTTTATGAAGTTCAATCCTCAGAGATCAATAATTAATTATTTCTCTTTTCCACTCTATTTATGTGATGTTCCGTAAGGGAATTCCTGTAGTACATTGTATTAAGTATTGTTCAGTCTGTACTAGGTCATCATTGGTTCTTATTACCTTAATTCTTTTCGGACGTTTGTGACAGTGAGTCTCCAAAGGGTGCAAATGATGCATCTACCTTCCAAAGAAAGGTTCGTATGACAGCTTATAAATGTAGTTCCTATTACACGTCAGTCCTTTTTACTGGAAGATGACTACCTGTACCTTTGGCTATGCTTTAAAGATGTTGGTCCAAAGCTCAAAAATAATTTAAAGAGATTACTTGAGACAAAGCAGCAACATAATAATACCGTCTTCTGTGTTACCTTTTGCAATTTAATTAGGATTTTTCTAAATGTGGTTTATTTTAACTGTGAGTTTAATTTTATGTTTTCATGGGTTCAGCTGGCTGTGGAGTGCATATTCTGCTCAGCTTGTATACGCTTTGTTGAGTGCTGCCCACAAGAAGGACTTACTGGTTTGTTCTTTCCTCATGTTGTTGCTTTTCTTTGTCCAAAAACGATTTAATTTCTTCTCTACTTGAATGAATTCCTCCTTGAAGTTGAAGGACTTAGTGGTCTCTTTCCATTGCAGAGAAGCTATGGTCTGGTCTTGAAAATTTTGTTTTTGATTGGCTTATTAATGCTGACAGGTAAGATTGCTAAACATTTGATCGGGACTTCAATAGGGTGGATAAACTCGCAGACTTTCATAACTAGAAGTGTAAAATATAATACTGTCTTCTACTTCTGATGAAACTTGTAACTTTTCCCATGTGAACTTTGATAATTTTACTAATTGAATTCTTACTATAATATCTGGAGGGAAATAATGTCTAATTGATTGATAAGTGTTGAGGAATACGGGTAAATCCATCCAGGGAGTGATTTCGTTTGAATTCTTTAGTATGACCATGCTGGATTTTTTACTCAATCACAGCATAAACTCAATAAATCCTTAATGCAGGGTTGTTAGCAAGGTTGAGTATCCCTCCCTGGTTGATTTGCGTGGCCTTCTTCTGGACTTAGTTGCTCAACTCTTAGGTGCCTTATCTTGGATCAGGTAGAGTTCTGACATTATTTATGACACTTCAAATTGATAGGAACTGATATGATGGATACTTATTTGACCACTATGAAATGGTTGCTAAAACATTTGGCTCTTAGATACCTGTTGGCTGTTTTCATATAATATGCATTTCTTGAGAAAAAGTGTTGTTAATATTATAACCTCTGAAAAAGAAAGTTTGTTTTGGGAATTGCAAGCATCTGTCTGCAGTAATTAGTTTTCATGGTGTTGAATGTAAATCATAACTGTACATTCCAATGTTAAAGCTGGCTCTAGTGCCTTGTGGCAGGTTTCTGAAGTTAGTCACCTACTTATTTTTTTAAAATGTGCCCCATTTTTTTTTTCTTCACAGGTTTAGTTCTGTAACTGAACGCTTTTTCATGGAACTCAACACTCGTCACATTGACACTAGTGTTGCCAGAAGTGAAACACTAAATATTATTAATGGGATGCGCTACCTAAAGCTTGGGGTATGTGCTTGATTTGTTTTTTCAATAGAAAGTGATATGAGGACACAAGCTTTAACAAGCTAGTTGCCAGGTTAAAACTGAGGGTGGGTTGAATGCATCAGCCTCTTTTGTGGCAAAAGCAAACCCACTTAACTGTGCACCACATAGAAGAAAAAGTGAGCTCCGCCATTCACTTTGCAATATGCTTTCTAACATCCTAGCACCACTGGCTGATGGTGGGAAGAACCAATGGCCTCCTAGTGGTGTAGAGCATGCACTCACTCTGTGGTACGAGGCTGTTGGGCGAATAAGAGGCCAGCTCATTCATTGGATGGACAAAAAGAGCAAACATATAGCTGTAAGAGCATCTTTTTTCATCCACTTCTTCTTCCTTGATCTAAATTTGTTTGCTTGTCTTATGAAAAGATCATCCAAAATCATAAAACACATTAAAGGCTAAAGATAGCAAAAATATGAAATGCCCTTGATTCTAAAGTTATAAAGTGACACTCCCATTATAGTAAAATGTGATATTCTTATTAAAAAATGGGATATTGTTTAAAATTTTCTTAGAAAGGAAGTTTTTAGGATTCTGTCCATCATTAGTGTCTCAGATTTTATACGTCCAAAAATTCTGAAAGTGAACTAAATATAAGAACTTTTAAGAGAATGCCAAGAATATTTCTGCAGAACTTCTGCTCTTAGACATCTGTCTATAGAATGTTTTATTCCTTCAATAAATCTATGCTACCTGCAAACTCCTGAAGAGACTTGGTAAAAATAGAATCAATGATTCTTTGAAGACATAATGCTTGATCAAATTCAAAGAGGAAAAAATAGTTAAAAAA